AAAAATCCTTTTTTTTTTTTTTTTTTTTTGCTACGGTTTGTTTTTGTCTCTTGTAATTCTGTATGCTATTGACAATATCATGTTTCTTAGGTCAAATTTCTATTCCTAAGAAAAAATTTCCTATTTCTAAGAAAAAATTTCTTATTCCTAAGACAAACATTAAGTGGTATGGTAAACAGTCAACACACTGACTTTTTATTCTCTAGTGGGGGTGGGCAAACTTTTTGTTAAGAAACCAAATAGTAAGTAGTTTTAGGTTTTCTGTGCCAGAGATCTCTGTTGCAACTAGTCATCACTGCCATTTTAGTGTGAAGCAGCCCTAAACAATATGTAAATAAGTGAGCATTGCTATGTTCCAGTAAAACATTAGTTACAAAAACAGGCAGCAGGCCAGTTAGTGGGCCGTAGTTTGCCATCCTGCTCTAGCCACCTCTGATGAGGTATCTAGATATATGCAAGTCATGTCTGTTTCTCCACAAGATAAAATGGAAATAATATGATTACTCTGCCCTGTGTCCTAAGGTTGCTATGTGAACTAATGATTGTAAAATGTTTCCAAGAAAAGAATTTCTATATAAACAGTCTGCCTTTGTTGTTGCTGTTGTTGTTTATTTGTTTTTTAGCCAGTATACCTCCTGAACATTTTTTCTAGCAGATTAGGTTGAAGAAAAGAAATACAGATCAGGGTGCCCTGAGCTCTTCCTAGTCTCTCTTGGCTCTGGTTAGATTCTATGGTTGATACTTGAAAAAAAAATGGCTTTCTTTACCTGTTCTTACATTTGCCACTGAAACTACTGTGATATATTACAGTCAATTTTCAGGCCTCATCATGCCACCATCCTTAAATTTGAGATGACTTTTTTTGTTGTTGTTACTAATCCTCACCTGAGGATATTTTTTCCACTGACTTTTAAAGATAACGGAAGGAAGGGTAGGAGGGAGGGAGGGAGAGGGGGGAGCTGAGAGAGAGAGGGAGAGAGAGAGAAACATTGATGTGAGAGACACACATGGATTGGTTGCCTCCCTCATGTGCCCTGACCTGGGCTAGGGAGGAAACCTGCAACCCAGGTAATGTGCCCTTAACTGGGAATCAAACCCAGGTCCCTCAGTATGGATGGTCCTGGAGAATATTATGCTGAGTGAAATAAACCAGGCAGCGAAAGAGAAACATCACATGATCTCGCTTATATGTGGAATCTAAAGAACTTAATAAACTGACGAGCAGAATAGATTCAATGACATGGAAGCATAGTTGAGAGTGACGAAATGTCAGAGGGACGGAGGGAGGCGGGGGGATGTAGGGGGAGAGAGTACCCAAAGAATTTATATGCATATATGCACGACCCGGGGACACGGACAATGGTGGGGAGAGCGACTGGGGAAGGGGAAGGAACGGGGGGGAATGGGTCATTGGGGAGAAAAAGGGACAT